TGAAGTTGCTGGTATGGCCCTGAGAGTATAACACCCATACACAACTCTGTCCAATTAGGAAGGCTTTGATGTCAAACAGCAATTTATTTCTCTGCACAGCGGGGAATATAAATTTGGAAGGACAAATTTACTTTTCAGAGCTCTTCAGATTTCATTACCTCTTCAGAGCAAGTACACGAATGGATAAACTGAGGCTCCAAGAGGCTACGAGTGGCTCTCACCTCAATCCTCTCTAGAACAAGGCAGAGCAGAAATCAATAGGTGGCTCACCAAGGGCAGTCAGCTTCATCGTGACAGCATAGACCCAGACTCTAACCTTCCCGCCTCCTAGACCACAGCTCACCCGCTGTACCGCCTGCCTCCTAGTGTCAATGGAGATGCATCTGCAGGGGAGGCATCTGTGCAGGAAGAGTGCAGAGAGCTAGAGGAGGAGAATTTTGCACCTGAGTGGCTCTTTTCATAAAAACAAGAGCACGTTAGTTCCTACTAAAAGAAAGGAGGGACCTGGGGAATTTTCCCAAAGAATCTGGGGCCCTCATTAGTATAGGAAGACAGCCGTCTTTGCCAACAATGCATTGACTGAGCTTGCCCACCTACTCCACCAGGGTGCCCATGGCTAGGATCCTCCGGCTCCTGACTCCCTGCTCAGTGAGTGTGACAGAGGCTGGACAAGGAGGTGGGGTCAGGGCTGGGCTGACGATTAGACATCTGTAGGGCAGGATGGCTTTGGCAACAGACAGACCTGAGTTCAAATCCTGCCTGGTTATAGCCCTGGCCAGCTTTAGACTTTGAGCAAGTAAAGATCATGAACCCAGACTATTCACCACTCAACAGTGTTATTATTGTTGCTGCTGCTGCCATTATTGTTCTTACAAGGAATTCACTTTGCAGCTGCACTGAAAACCCCTCATCCCAGAAGGGCAACAAAAAAATAGAGAAGAACCCAGTGACCGAGGGAAACTGCAAGTGAGATGGAGTGTAATTTCTCACTGTGGCTTGCGGCGTTCAGCGCTCTTGCTTTGCTGCTTGTCTGGGAGGGGGTTAATGACCCTCTGCGGACTGTCTTCCACTCGGCAATGGAGGGGGCGCTGTTCAAAGTCTCACCTCAACCTGGTGGTCCTGGGCTCAACCACCCCAGACTGATGCTGTGGTTCAAAGTGCTGGGACCAGGGGCATCCACACTCATTTCCTGCCTGCCTGTGCCCACATGCAACGGCTCCTGAAAAAGGGGAACCAAGTGTGGTTCAGAATCCTTTCAACAGCTGACAACATTTGGATTCCCTTTCTGAGCAGCAAGGCCATGAATGTCCTGCCATCCCTGCTTCATTGTTGTCAGTGAAGCAAGCAGGCCGAGAGGGGAAGTGAGCCACCAACACCCGAAGCGATCAGAAAAAGAGATGGTGTGCCTTTAAGATGAAGGTGGTGGGCAACCATCCATCTTCCCTAAACACAGACTTGCCTTGTTCTTCCATTTCTGGCTGAGTGATAAAAACGTTAAATGTCATTTCCTGTATCAGTGGTTAACCACTAGATGCTGGATCAGAGATTTACCAGAAGTGCTGAAGTTAAGGAAAGAAAAAAAAACCTGCTGTTTTCAATAACCCTTTCTTGCACCCTGTGGGAACTATTGAACATTTTGGGGGGGAAGAGGGGCATGAGGGGGGTGCTGGATTTGGCCTGAGCAATAAATTTAGGATTAGATTTGCCAAAGACTTTCTTCTGCTTCATACAGGAAGTGAAGAGAGGCATAATGTAACCGTCCTGCATCCCTCGCCAGGGGCTGAGAGTGTGTGCAGGGAAGGCAGAAGTAAAAATCTTCCACACGTCTTCCCTGTCCACCTCTCTCTCAGGACATCCACGGTCCTTTGGTTTTATTGACCCAACGTTTTCATGGAGGACTGTGGCTCTGGCTATTCTGTTTCCCCAGCTTCCTGCAGCCATAAGCGTCCTCCGGTGATCAGGAGCCCACGGAAAAAGCAGTACCCCAGGAAACTTTGCACGTGAACCGCTGTGGTCTGAGGGGTGGGGAGCCCAGTGTGATCCTTTGCTGTGTCTTCTTGGATTTCTCCATTCACCTTCTCCATTCAGTTATGTGCTCTGGGAAGTACAGTGGGGAAGGCCTGGCTCAGCCCATAGAGGGGTGCTGGACTCACTGCACCCCAGCCACAGCTGTACTCAAAGCCCGGCTTCTCTGCCGTGCACCTTCGGCATAGGGGTGACCCCCATGGGGACAACAACACACAAAGCCATCCTGGGCTCCTCCCAGCTGTCTCCCAGGCCCGAGGCACCTCTCTCTGTCTGGGCAGATAAGACTTAAGAGCCACACTTTGTTCCAGCAATTGTGTTTCCTACTGATGACTAAATGACAAGCAACAGGATATATTGGAGTATACAAGGAAGCCATTTGGTTTAAAATTAATTCAGCCTAGGGGGCTAGCCCCGTGGCCAAGTGGTTAAGTTCGCCCACTCCGCTTCAGCGGCCCTGGGTTTCACGGGTTCGGATCCTGGGCACAGACATGGCACTGCTCATCAGGCCATGTTGAGGAGGCATCCCACATGCCACAACTGGAAGGACCCACAACTAAGATACACAACTATGCACCAGAGGGGATTTGAGGAGATAAAAAGCAGGAAAAAATAATAATAATAATAATTCGGCCTAACCTTGTTTTTCCAAAAGGCCTAACGTGGCCCATTGAGCATGCCTTGTACATCTGCTTTAAACACTTACAATGTCCCAAAGAGAAGAATGATGCCCGTAAAGATAGGGATGTATCTTCCCCATATCAGGATTTCCTTAAGGATAAGCATCTCTTCCTAGAAACTAAGGATTAATTACCAACCTGCTGGGTTCACCTTGTGACCACTAACCTGCTATGCTAGCAAAAGCAATCTCGTGACTGTTGTAAAGGGACATTCTTAGCATATGTGATGTATGCTCTTTGTTTCAGGATGCTATATAACTGCTCTGTACACCCTACTTCTTTGAAGTGCTTCCTTCCTTCGTGAAGGTACTCTCCCAGGCGACATAGTCCTTAGGGTTGGCTCATAATAAACTCACCCCAATTTTGATTTTAGATTGATTATGGAGTATTTACATCAACACTACCCAATGCCACCTAGGATATTCTGTGCACACACCAAGCACTCCTAGCACCTCATGTACATCTAGAGTGAGAACAGCCCAGATTTGTCTGGGACTAAAGGGATTTGTAGGAAGCAAGACTTTTGTTATGAAAACCGGGAAATTCCCTGGCAAACTGAAATGCATTGGTCACCTTAACAAACAAGTATGTGACAGGCAAATACACGTTCTACTTCAAAACTGAAGCTACACATTTAGAAAGATCCAGCCAGGTGAAACTGAAGAAGGCATGTCACAGTGTAAGAGTTCCTTGGGGAGAATGGAAATCATTGCTGCTGTCCCACTGCTCCCGGCACAGACCTAAGAGTCACCCTCTCCTAATTCAGCAGCTACCAGTGGAAATCTGAAATCAAAGTCAGAATTGAAAGAGAAAAGACCTTGGGGAAGAAATACATCCCACCGAATTTCTTACAGGTTGTGAAACTCAAACCTCTTTTCCTCCATCCTCCCCACCTCGATTACATCTGCTCCTGACCTGTTAGATGCTTCTTCCTCTTTTTTCAAATTAAATTCACTTATCTAGATTTTGTATGACTTTGGACAACGTTTCTCATGGGTACCTTTTGGAATAAGATCATCGCGATGTCTTCTTGACTGAGACAATCTCCCTGACGTTTCCAGGTGAAGCTGAGCCCTTCCCCCAGGCATCCCGGTTCACATCGCCCTTCAGCCCTCAACACATTGCTGGGATTATTGGTTTATGGTTCCATCTTGGCTACTAGCTGTGAACCGCTGGTGTTTTATATATCTTTTTCCCCAGGGCCAATCCCAGGCCTTGATAGATAACAGCTATTAAATAAGTACAAAAAATGAGATGGTATGGAGATAAGAAGGGGAAATGTTGGCTGGGTGCTATTATACTTAGACGGGTCTATAGCCATTTGATCACATACAATTCAAAGGCTGTTGACTATGGTTGGATCAACAAGGCAGTCTCTATTACAGAACCGAAGGTCTCCACCCTGGGCCCCATCCTAATCAACATTTTATAAAAAACTGGATGAAGATATAAAATGTACGTAAAACAGATTAGCAGAAAAACCAAAGTGGGGAGGTATCACTAATATGTAAGATGTTAGAATTAATGTTGCAAAATTATCTCAGCCTATTAGATCAATAGACCAAAACTAAGAAGACAAAAATTCACACCAATAAATGTAAGTAATACACTGATTGAAGCACGAGTACAATACGGGAGATCTGGTTTATAGAAGTTCATATGAAAAAATCCCAGCGGTTCCCACAGTCTTTGAGGTAGAAGAGAACCCAGAAACTACCCAATATAGAGAGGATCTCAAGCTTTTTTAAACACTAGAAGATTTTTGTCAATTAGAATTACACACAGAGGCCAAGTGAAGAAATTTTTAAAAGGCACTGCTCCGTATAGGAATAGAGGCAAAGGGGATGACCAGTCAGCCCCCTCACTTCGCTCTACCACGTCTACACAGCTAGTTAGTGTCAGAACTCCATGAATCCCTTAGCCAGTTCTACTTTTGTTTGTCTGTTTTGCTTTGTTTTTATTTATTGTGTTTGTCCCTCCCTGGCATTGTGTTATACGTTTGACTGTTTGACCAGCACTTGCTCCCTCACTGGGGTTCTGTTGTCTGTTCTGCTCACCAGTGTACCCCCAGTGCACAGCACATGGTGGGAGCCCAATAAACATTTGCTGGGAAAATGAATGAAACAGCTAGAAAGAACCCAGATGTCTTGACTCCAAACCCAGTACGGTTCCTCCAGTAGTGTGACTGTCCCAAACAACACCACCACCACAAGCCAGGATCGCATTAGTGTGCCTTAGAAGAAGATTGTTGTCCTAAATAAGGATTAAATGGTTCCACTGTACTCTTCATTGTTCAAGCCGTATCTGGAAGACTGCGTTAAGTTCTGGAAGATACATTAAAGAAAAAAAAAGGAAAGCAAATATGGCAGGAGTGAGATATAAATAATATTTTTGAGAGCTAACTTTGTACCAGACATATTACACATTTATCTCATTTAATCATCACAATTATGCTATAAAGGTAATTATCATACTCCTTTTACTTCTGAGGAAACTGAGATTCAGAAAGTTTAAGTAATTTCTCCAGTCATACAGCTAAAGGCCAAGTACTCAAACCCCAGCAAAGCTTGTGTTCCTTCTGCTACACCCACACGCCTCTTGGAGGTTCCCCAGAAAGGCAAGCAGAGTGTGGAGGGTCTAGAAATCATGACAAATGAGATGTTCAGCCTGGAGAAGCCCAGGAATATGTGACGAGCTGGGAAGGGAGTAAGGAGAACGTGATAGCAGTCATCAAAGAGAGAGGAGTACTTTTTGAGAGGGGAAATGCTGAGTCTCAAGGTCACCTGTCAGGTGAGGTGTAGAGGAGATCCCTGGGTGGGTAGAAAATTGGTCCAAACAGCTCTAAAATCTATGCATTTGGGTGTCGCTGCTACTTTGAGGTGGAGACGTGCCCAGTGCCCATTACACCCCTGCCTTATCCCTCCATCCCCGTATCTTACATGCCATGGGCTCTTTATTGGTTTATTTTCCTTTAACAATGGGCACTGAGCAGCAGCTGTCTAGTAAGAGCTGCCCACAAGTTGTAGTTGGAATCATTTTCACAACTGTTTGGCTTCTATGATTAAAGAAACAGCCCCAGGTGGAGCGGCTTGTCCTGCAGCAAACAGGCACCAGGCACAGAACACCGTGAGTGAGCACAGGACAGTGGGAACCAAGGAGCAAGGCCAGGTCCCAGGCAGAGACCTGACATACCAGGGCTGGGAGGGGTCCAGCCATTGACGCCTCTCTCTGCAGGCGCAGCACTTAATCCAGGGTTCTTCTCCAGGCTGTGGAATCACCCTCCCAGACTCCTGTCTCCTGATCTGATCTAAACAGGAAGGCAGAAAAAGGAAGAAGGAACTTAGGAAAAAATGGCCTTTCCCCTCCTGAAAGTCTACCCTGTTACAGACCCTTCCCAGAGGTTGGTCCTTGTCTCAAGCCCAGTAGAAATTCCTCCATGAATCTGAGCTTTTAGAGACACCGAGGAAACTGCAACACTGCGCTGGCTCAATTTTTGGTTCATCAAAACATAACCGTGATGACTAAGAAATGGTTTTCTGTTGGATGTCCAGCATCCCTTCCTCCCACGCTTCCCTGCCCCCCTGCTGAAGCACCTTTTGTGAGAACCCAGGGTTTAAGCCACGCCCTCCTTGTGGGTCTGAACACCGCTTCCCTTTGGCTGAATCCAACCACACAGGACAGCAAGGGGTAGGGACCAGCACTGAGAAACAGATGGAGAATTCACAAGGAGAACTGATGCTGAAGGGGGAGGTGGGAAGACTCCAAAGCTAAATGTAGCATCCTGTCTAGAATGTGAGAGCCGCCAGGACCTTCCAGAGGCATCTAGTCCAGGTACTGGCAAACTTTCCTGTAAAGGGCCAGATAGTAAGTACTTTCGACTTTGTGGGCTACACATGGTCTCCCTCACAACTACCCACCTCTGCTGCATAGCACAAAAGCAGTCATAGACAATGCGTAAAAGCATGGACACAGCTGTTGTTCTAATAAAACTTTACGGACACCAAAATTCAAATTTCATATAATTTTCCCATGTCATGGAAATGTTATTCTTTTAAAAAAAATTTTCCAATCATTTAAAAATGTAAACGCCATTCTTATTTCACTGGCTGTTCAAATATAGGTAGTGAGTTGAATTTAGCCCTTAGGCCATAGTTTCCCAATCCTAGTCCTGGTGCTTCCTGGTACATGACTGGCAGGGCAGCCTAGGAGAAGAATCCACATATTTGATTCTCACGTTGTCTTCTTTCCCCTGCAATGCAATGTTTCAGCGTTCCCCATTCCCTTGGGCACCATGTGCCTCTTTGCAAGGGTAGTAGCCTGGTCCAAACCCTGCCAACTGTTGCATCTGGCGTAGAACTTTTGGATGTGACATGCTCCATCTCTGTCCCATTTCTGTGCCCATTCAGGGGATGACTTGGGACAGGTCAATTGCCCTCTTTGGACCCTAACAGAAAGAACAAACATGGGAACTCAACTCAGTCATCTCTGAGAGTGTGACCTCTGTCAGTTGGCCTCCCATCCTTCATCCTAGCTCAGCTCTTGGCCTTTCCCTCTCCGGGGACATTTCAGTCCTGGCACTCCCTGCCACCCTACCAGTTGGCACTGCCTGCTGCCCTCGCCAGCAACCATCCCTTGGAGCAACCAGTTCTGATGTCACTGAAGGATAATGACTTCTGGGCAGGAAAACCAGAAATGGAAGCAGATGAAGTGTCTATTTTTGTGCAGATGAAGTCGTGGGAGGATACATGATTCATGTGTTGAGTGCTTTCTGAATAGCACGTTTCTATCATTTTCTGGAAGGCAGCAAGTTAGCTTCCCTGGGGCGGTGGGTGAGACTGATGTTTGGGGTTTCCTCTTTTAAAGTAGGGTGTGATTTGGTTTTCGTTGATATTGTTGTTCAGGTGCATTTTTCTTTTTTTCATTTTTGTTTTGTTTCATTGTGATTTGTTTTAATGAGTTGGAGATGGAGGATCAGGAGAGAAAGTTCTGGAGGGAAAGAAAAAAGCAGAGCCCATGTACAGTACCTCCAGCATCTGATCATACAAAGAAGGTCAAGGTGGTTCAAAGTCATACAGTCAGATGCCTGGGGACCTGCCAAACGCCAGATGCCTTGGTTAGGAAATTCGTGACAGTTTGACATCTGGGTCTTGTGTGATTGCCAGCCAAAGATAAGGAAGAGAAAGGGGAGAGTCCTGGCATGGCGTTCCAAGCAGGCTTGGAGCCCTGGACCTGTCCCTGCCATCACATTCAAGAATGTGGCCACTCTGCCCAGAGCCATTCCTTCTAGTCACGCCAGCACAAGGGTGGCCAGGAGCCCGGAGCAGGAGCCTGGTCACTGTCCAGCCCAGAGTAGTGCTCAGTATTGGTTCCCTCTGCTACTCTCTCCCAGGGATACAATACTAAATTAGGTCTTAGGGGATTGGGTCCCTGGATGGCCTCAGGAAGCTCTGGGGGCCTCCGGGAACTTGAATAGAAGACATTCGAAAGGACTACGCTGAATCCCACACTTCCCTTAGTTAACAGTGTGCTGGTAAATGTTTAACAACCAGCTATCCAGGAAAAAAGGCCCTGATTTGTAACATTTGCCAATTTCCCTGGTGTAAATACTCCCTGCTTGGCCAATTACACGTTGTCAGTGTGATGTCACCAGCTCACAAAAATCCTGAAAATTAACATTCGGCTCTTGCAAGTCCGAATGAGTCGGCTCCAGTACACCACTTCCCTGAGCCCTTTGGAACCCAAGGAGAGAGCAGAAATCAGAGCAGGCTGCCCAGGTATCAAAATGAACTGGGAATCCCTGGTGAGGCCACAGGCTGCTTGAGCCTGAAGTACATCACAGTTGTGACGGCCCTAGAGTGCCCACAGCCAATGCCGGCAGGAGGGATGAGGGAGCTGGGATAAAGGACAGAGACTGCAAGGCATCTGTGTGGTCCACAAAAAACATACAAAACTGTGCAGGATTTAGCCACCTCCCTTCTGTTTCCTGAGAGCAGCCCTGTCTCACTCAGTCCATCGCTTTCCAGGGAGTCTTACTAAAGGATGCTGGGAAGCAGCCATCCTACAACCCCGAAAAGAGGTGCTCTGCCTTCAGAACATGCTAAAGAGGAGATGGTGGCTGACATCGAGGAATCTGTGCCCTGAACACAGAGGGCTGCTCTGTCCACCTGGCCAGGTCAAGTGGGCACCAAAGATGGAGTCATGCTGCCCGCCCCTGCTGCAACTCCTCTCGCCTGGTCCCCTGCCTCCCTCCCTATGAGTCCCACTGAAGACACTTCTTGGTTGAGGGAGGAGAACCTCACCTCCTCCAACTCCTTAGATTTCCCTATAGTCCACACGAACTCATTTGTTAAAAGGGTATCTAAGGACTTGTGGATGAACTAAGACCCCTTCCCTTGGGCATTTTCGGCTTAGCAGCCATTCTAGGAAGAGGACCGGGTGGCAACTCACTTATGAAAGACTTCATTCTATGTTCTGCTCTCTTCTCCCAATGTCTGACACATGCAAAGAACCCCTTACAGCCACCTTTACTGTCCCTAGCTTTCAGAACCCACTCACCTGTCCAGAAACATTCACACAATCCTCGAGCTCCCTCCACTCCCTTCCCTGGGGGCCGGGAGCCCTGGGTTCCATTCCTACCTCAGCCACTAATTGTTTTAACATCCATTTAACTTCTTCCAACTGTAGTTTGTTTATCTGTTACACACATTTGGTTGGACTTTAAAATAATAAAGTTCCTTACAAGTTTTATAGAAAAATAAGATTTGTGTGGAACTTTAAAATGAGCAAGTACCTTTCACTTAATCATCACAAAAAAACATAAGTAGTGGGGCCAGCCCAGTGGCGCAGCAGTTAAGTTCTTGAGCTCCGCTTCAGCGGCCTGGGGTTCACTGGCTCGGATCCCAGGTGCAGACCTATGCACCGCTTATCAAGCCATGCTGTGGCATGCGTTCTACATATAAAGTACAAGATGGGCACAGAGGTTAGCTCAGGGCCAATCTTCCTCAGCAAAAAGAGGAGGATTGGGAACGGATGTTAGCTCAGAGCTAATCTTCCTCAAAAAATAAATAAATAAATGAGTGGTAACATCAGACATAATATTGTAATAAGTGACATAGGTAGTAATATTAGATAATATTGGGAAACTGAGGCTCAGAGAGAGGTTGGGAAACATATCCAAGGTCACATGGATAGGATGCCCAACACTCCATGCAGACCCCTGAGAGTGAGGGGCTACAACCAGACCCCACATCAGAGCCCCCAGCTTTTCCTCTGGGTTTGACACAGCTCCTTGGTTGATGTTCATGTCCCTTTGACTCACCAGTGAAACCCATCAAATTGCATTCCGGCTGACTCCCATCCCCAAGCTGGGTGCCCCACATGAATATGGGCAACATCAAGGACAAAACCGGGATCTGTCTGAGCGAAGGTGGTGAATGGGCGCCGTTTACCTTCAGCGAGCCTCCCGCCTCCTGTTTACAATTCCGTGTCCATTCTTCTGGAATCTAACCCTCTTCATTGCCTTAATACTGTCCAGGCCCCTCCAAAAGAAAACACATCAATGAAAAAGCTGCATAGTATAGCCCCTCCCCACCTCCTGCAATAAAATGAGTGCTGACACCCACTGCTCCACAAAAGGGTCAAGAAAGAGGGACCCCTCTCACTTGACGTATATATTGCCTTTACTCATGGTTCTCACCCTTCTGTCCTATGCTCCCCTCTGTACCCCAGAGACTTTTGCCACCTGCCTTGAGTTCTTTATTTTTACAAACATTCTTTATCATTGTCTATTGTTTGTCCTGGATGCCAGTCACGGCCCCCACCCCCTGCCAAGGTTAAGGCAAGAGGAAGGAAAAGAATAAGCAAAAATTATTACCATTTCCATAGCACTTCATAACAATAATAGCCTTTGAAAGCCCCCACTGAATTATGAGAACAATTCAATGAAGTAGGTATTGTTACACTCATCTCTGCAGATGAGGACACTGAGGCTCAAAAACTTTGTGGATCACTCAGCTATTAAGTTGAAGAACCAAAATGGGAATCCATGTTCATTGGGCTTCCAAGGGCCCTCCCTTAGAAATTATCTAATAAGAATCTTCACAAATATTTGCTTTTTAACAGCAGTGTCTTAAAATGAGAGCCGAACAACCCAGCCAACAGAGCTCTAAGGGGCCATAACCAACATTTGCTAAGGCCATCATACAGAGGACCCAGTGGGTTTGAAATGTGGGAGTCTCTTTTTACACCAATTAGAGAGTCACCAGTTCTGCTGACCATAAAACCAACCATAAATGTAAATGAAGTCCCAATCCCATGGGTCTGGAGACTGAAAAAGGTGAAGCCTTCAAACTTGGAGAAATTCTGAATCAGAGATTGGGGCACATAATCACACGCCAAAGTCTCGGCTTTTGGTCAAATAACATAGGGAACTGGACACAGTAAGAGGTTCTCTCATGCTGCCCAGACTCCAAACCAGCAGCCATGCAGTGCCTTCTGAAGGCCCCTGCGCTCTGATGCCTGGGGTAGAGAACCTGATTTTCAGTTCATTATGGATGAACACAAAGCACAGATTTGCAGATCTTCCTGGAAATGAATAGTAAGAAGTGCGAAGTAAGTTCAGACCAGCAGAGAAATCTGATTTATTTTAGAGACTTTATTAGTAAGGGGTCATGATACTTTCTGGTGATTCCACCGGGCAGGTCAAATCTAAAGACCTTGTTAATAAATGCATTATGACTCAGTTGATGAGACTTGGTGAGGTGTTAACTGTCTTGGTAGAGTCAATAATGGTCGATCATTTGGTGGTTTAGACTGGGGAAATATGAAATTGAACTGTAATCGGAAAAGCTTGCAATATTTTCCTACACTTTTTGTATAGGATAAAGATCTGCAAAAGATGGAGTTCAAGAAATCATTTGAGTATAATGTGAAGTCAAACATTCAGGTTTGAGAATAAAATTGTAACTACCTAGCATGTGGCCTTTGGTGGAGAACGGATAGCAGACTGCCCAGGAACAGGTCATAAGAACATTGAGGCTGGACCAGCGGGGCTGGCTTCAGAGGTGAGCTGGAAACATTTGCTCTAATGGACTCAAGGAAGCTACTTGGGCTGGGAGGGAAGGAAAAGGGGTCAGTAGAGCTTCAGGGAGAAATTGGGGAAATAGAGAAAATTGATTTCAGCTGGTGGTGGGAAAAAAGGAAAAGGAAAAGAAAGAAAGAAGCTAGCGTCTGGGAAGTGCATGAAAGAGGAAATAGAGAAGGAGGAACAGCTATCGAAAGTGATAGAGAGAGAGGCTTGGCCAACTCATTGTGGATAGATCCTAAGTCCCACAGGAAGAGGCAGAAAAAAGGAGACAAAGGAAAAGAAATGTAAGCCTCCAAAGGCTAATTAAATTCACAAAAAGAAGATAAAGAATAATTCCAAGTAGAAGCACAACATTACCACTAAAAAGAAGGCAAGAGTTACCACCCGAAGGACTCCAGGGGAAGATAAAGTGGACATCAGTTTGTGCAGGAAGCGGCCTGGATATTACCCACTTGGAGCAGATTATTCACCAGGAACATGGAGAAGAACTGGATCTGTGGGTTTTCTTACCAAACAATTTTAAAAGAGCGAGATTTTTATTTATAGTTTATAATGAGAACTTTCCAAAGATTTACGGGATCTGGATCTGATGATACATAATGAAGCTTGTGAACTGAAGAAGCAACACTTCATGGATATGCATATCCCCCAGAAGAAATCCTTATAACCCCCAAAAGAAATTTTAAAAAGAAAATCCATATATAAAAATATGACTCACTTCCTTAACACCACAAGAAGGATATGGGTTGAGGGAGGAAAGGAAGATTTCTACTGATTCTTGAGAAGAGAATGAAATGGGAGATCTAAGAAAAGCACCCCAACCAAATAACCCAGGTTATAAGAGCGCAGGATTGAAATACGTTTATTTAGACACGCTCTCCAACAGTTGGCTACATGGTTACCAAAATGGGAACTGAGCCAGGAGCCTTGACATTGTTTATGTGCAAAAAAGAAGAGAGGTTGCAACATGTAACATGAACGATGCTCCTATTTTTATTTTATGAAGATAATAGCCAAAATCCACTTCTCAAAAACTAGAAGTTTGGCAGAAGTATAAAGAAGCAGGTAAATTCCTGATGGAACAAGACAAGATTCAAAACAAAAGGGGAGAGATGAAGGGCAGGGCAGGCCTCTGATCTTCCCAGGCTGGCAGTGGAGAGTGTGTTAGAAAATGATATGAGGAGGTGCTCAAGGAAACGGCCCTGAAATCAGAGGTTTTAAAGAGAAAAACAGAGTCTCCCAAGTAAAAGCAATACACAGAGAGACCGGGCTGAAGAAACTGGAATAGAAATGGTGAAATTTAAAGTATCACAGAAAGGTTTCTAGAGGAGTTTGTACAGAGAAGGAAATGAGGAAAAGAGAAAGATAGAGCCTACAAAATTCTAGAACGTGCTACAAATGTAAGGAAAAAAGAGTAACGGTAAAATGAAGTCTATAGATTTTAGTGGCATGATTGAAATGGATAATAAAAGGATCTTCATGAAATCGTTTCTAGGAGAAGAAAGGAATGAAAAGAAGAGAAAAGACAGTGGGCTAATTCCAGTATGCCAAGGATAATAAAGAAATGCATGAATCACCAGCCAACAGCCCCGATCCAAAGAGAAGCCCGTTCAAGCTGCGCGTAGAGCTGCAGCCAGGCTCCCTCTGATGCCCGTGGACTTCGGCTCCACACCTGGGCCTCCTTGTGCACCTGTTTTCAGTGGCACATGAGGAAACGGGTGGTGAGATGAATGAAATGTAACTCATTTCTTCTTTGGTTCCGTCAACATTTACACACAAAAGAAGTCTATGTGCCAAACACAGGGCTTGATACTGAGAAAATATGAGAATAAATAAGAAACATGGTTAGATATTCTGACATAAATAGAAGCAGAAAGGGGAGGGTGAATATTCAGAATACGGAAATTGCCAGATAAAGGGGAGCAAAGTTCAAGGCCATCAAAATGAGAGACCATGTGAAATATGACAGAACTGAACATACGAAGGTAGATGGGAGATTACTGTACAGTCTCTTTGAAGAGGAACAAGATGGAAAAGGAAAGTGGGAAGCAAAAAGAAGAAGTAATGTCAAGGGCCCTGCTCTAGACCCAGATGAAGATGGGCTCTAATCTGAGTCCCACCCCTCACCCCGCTGGTCCTGATGTGATCTTGAGCACATGGACTCTGAGCCTCAGGTCCCTCAACTGTAAAACAGACTGACAACATCTTTCTAACTACAGAGTAACTTCTGGTTGTAGCCATGCCAGATTAAGGGATATCAGGCTTACCCTCCCACCACAAACAATAATAAAAGGGGACAACATGTATGAAACAATGGTGTTCAGGTCTAGAAACAGATGGTGCACGGATGGGAACCTTGAGAGAAGAAAAACAGAAGAGGTGAAATCCACATTTACTCTGGCCTTCTGCCAGGGTGCTTTCCAAACCACAGCACAGGGAAGTAGAACCCAAACCAAGGCGGAAGGAATAGGAGACCAAAGGTCAGGGCCGTTGAAGGGGTGGAAGTTAGTGGGGTGGGGTGCTGGAGAGGAAGGAGCTGCACAGAGAAGAAATCCAGAAATCCACATGGGGACAACCTGAGCCTGTGGCTGCAGACAAAGCTGGACCTGTGCAGGGTGAAATGCCAAGGCCTAGGAGAGAACAGGTGCCAGGGAGCTGTGTCCTCAACAGAGATTCCAAAGGTTACACAGCGGGGAGACACGGATATTCCCAGTGGCTATAGTGGACAGAGCTTGATGAACACTCTGGAAATTCAGCTGAGACCCAGGAAAGGCCACACCTTAGGAGCTGGACCAGCTGGCCCTAGACAAGAACTGCATGGGACGCGCCATAACAAAGCCAATGTCTGACACTCAGCAGGATTAAGCTCACCTACCAATAAACCAACTACCTGCCAAAACAAAGTCAACACTCCTGAAAGAAAGACAATAAAATCCAATCAAACATGATGACCTGTAACAAAGACAAAACAAATCAGTTAAAAGTAAGAGTCCCAGAGGTGACACAGATGGAAGTAGCGGACAAGGACTTTAAAATGACTAAGATAAATATTTTCAAAACATGGACATAAGGAATGAGTAGATGGGTAGTCTTATCAGAGAACAGAAGCTATGAAAAAGTACCAAATGAGAGTTACAGAACTCAAAAAAATATAATAACTGAAATAATTAACAGGATGGGCTTAACAGCAGATTGGACACTACAAAAGAAAAGATCAGTAAACTTGAAGACAGGATAATAGAAAATGTTCAAATGGAAGCACTTAGAGAAAAAAGGAGGAAAAAAAGAACAGAGCTTCAGGTACATGTGGGAGAATATTAACCAGTCCAGCATACATATACCTGAAGTCTCAGAAGGAAAGCAAAGAGGAATTGGGGCAGAAGAAATATTTCAAAAAAACAAATACTTCCAAATGTAATGAAAAATACCAATCCACAGATCTAAGAATCTCAATGTATCTTAAGCAAAATAAACACAAAGAAAACCACATCAAGTATAAAGTCAAAACGGTGAAAAACAAAGACAGAGAGAAAAGCATCCTGGGCACAAAAAAAAAAAAATCCACTTTCCTGCAGGAGAACAATGATAAAAATTGTCACTGACTTCTCATCAGAATCGGTGCAATCCAGAATGTGGTGGAAGAACATCTTTGAAGTTCCAGGAGAGAAAAAACTCTTAACCTAGAATTTTATATCCTGTGGAAATATCCTCTAAAAATGAAGGCAAAATAAAGACATGTTTAGATAAACAAAAGCTGAAAGTATTGATCCCCAGCAGAACTGCACAATAAGAAACGTTAA